CTTGCAATTCCAACTGGTATCTCACCAATAATAACCTCTCAGAATCTAATTCGATTTCCCTCTCAGGGTATACCCCATTGAAGCTCGTTCGACATGGCCCTCTGGCCCTACATTCTATCATGTCTGCCCTCAGTCTAATCAATTATATCGGATTAGCTGGTAAATCAGAAGCACTAACCGCCACGAATCCTGGTACTCAAACCACGTGGTCACCTCTCAATCTGCTACGGATCATGGTACTCGAACCATGTGATCACCTCTCAATCTGCTATTGATCATGGTACTCGAACCATGTGATCACCTCTCAATCTGCTATGGATCATGGTACTTGAACCATGTGATCACCTCTCAATCTGCTACTTAGAACCTCTGGAATTTTCCCAGTATCGAGTATGGGTCCTCTGATTTCAGTAGTACGGGCCCATACTACCTGTCACATCTACCCATACTTTCCACACGGATCATCCCAGATTTCCTAAGTAGCTGCTCAACTTCCTCAATCACCAATCCCGTCATACTTGGTCGCTCTCCTGCGAATACTCTCCTCTATCAAAGTACTCGTCTGACAAAGGTCACTCTCTAGGCTCTTCCTAGATTCTCGCACTTCTCTGCCATCAGCTGCTGAAGAATTCCTTATGATGCCAGCCATCTACCTCCTGAATATCGTCATATTCACTTAGTAGCTGACTCCCATCATCGAGAGTTCCACAAAGCACGAAGCAAGCAACATTCAGGCATCGAATAACTTCCACCAACACGTAAACCACTCTAGGTTACAACTCCACTTTCTCTACACACACTCAAAGGTGTCACCGAACTCAAGCAACTCTACCCCACGCGACTATCTAACTACTCTCTCAGTAGGCTCCTCAAATGCTCATCTAGGTATCTCTCCTAGATTACTCCTCTACTCAAATCCCTCTCTAAAAAGGATTCCTGCTGGATACTCTTACTCCGCACATACTCAAAAGCAAATCACAGATAGCAACAACTCCTAGGCTAAGGCATCACAAATCAGGCCACTCTAGTCCTAAAATATGAAATACCTAGCCTATCTCTAGCATGCAGAATATCTCATAAAATATCTCATAAATATCTCATAACACAAAAGAAAGGGTATTTTGGGAAATCACCGTTCGAGCTCTGGCTGATTGTACACACTGCTCTTTCTCGTTTTCTCTTAGAAACTCTTGCTCGTTTTAGAAAAATCATTTCTTTTGAAAATTTTTCTCAAATCCCCAGTTTGAGTCCAGACATACCCGAAGGTGCATCCGAATCCCTCAAACCAAGGCTCTGATACCAACTTGTAACACCGTAAATTTTCATACAAATTTTTCATTTTTAAAATCACATAAATATCATCAACACATATCACAAAATCTCAATATATCAATTATCAAAAACACGTGTTCATAATTAGTTAAATAAAATCCAGGATCCACGAACACAACTCCATCTCGTGTGTACAATCAAGCCGGCGCCTTCCCGTGATCCTGAGAAGTACCTGAAACACATAACATATAACACGGTAAGCACGAAGCTTAAAGAGTTCCCCAAAATACCACACACAGCTCATTAGCCACTCGAGGCTATAACTCAATAAGACCCTCCAGTCAATGTGTCTCAGTGGGACCCTCCAGTCCCATAGCTCGTTGGACCCTCTGGTCCGATCTTAGTGAGGACCCTCTGGTCTCACAGCTCGTTGGACCCTCCGGTCCAGTCTCAGTGAGGACCCTCCGGTCTCACAGCTCGTTGGACCCTCCGGTCCGGTCTCAGTGAGGACCCTCCGGTCTCACAGCTCGTTGGACCCTCCGGTCCGGTCTCAGTATCACATAATATAACATACATATATCACACAGACAAGTGCACAACTCAATTAAGCACATAAGATCAACATATACATAGATTACTATAACAGCATAAGTCACAAAGACAGTATGCACGATAACACATAACACATTATAAACAAATTAGACCCTCCGGTCGATAATGTACAAAGACCCTCCGGTCTACAATGTACTAAGACCCTCCGGTCAATAATGTAATTAAGTCCCTCCGGTCAATAACACGAATAAGACCCTCCGGTCACACATAAATTACCACACGGGTAAGTATAGTGAGAAGACTCACCTCGGATGGCGGACAGATCCTATAAATGCTGCTGTTGTACTCCGGCTTCTAACACTGAGTCAAACCCACAATTAACCCCATTTGAATCTAAGACCAAACCTTCACACATTAGGTCCGAATATGGTCCACCAATCCGGTCTAGAAATAACCCAAGCCCAATGGGCCCACCAAGGCCCAATACCAAATGGGTTCACAAAAAGTCCTCTAATGGCCCAACTATGGCCCAATTTTCCAAATTGGGCCCAAAACCTCACATAGGCCTTACCCTAAAGCCCATGAAAATATTCTAGTCCACATGACTGCTCTTGGATGGCTCATCAATGGCCCAAACACCAAAGCCCAATAAAAAGGCCCAACTTAAGGCCTAAGCAAAAATTAGGGTTTTCACATAAAATGACGATTAGGGTTAAGTGTTTCTCACTTAACCCATTAAGGACTTAACCCATTAAGTCCATTATTCCACTGAGCCATCGCACAATAGAATCGTCATGAGTTATATCTTCAGTTCACTGGTCCAAATGCGAGTCCCAATAGGCCCAAACCAACAAACCCAAAATTAGGGTTTTCTAAACCCTAATTAGGGTTTCTAGCCCAATCACAAAGTAGCCCAGTCCAAGATCAAGTGTTTAGCCCCAATAGGGTCCACTATGCCAAGCACCACCCACTACCACCCCAGGTAGTGGTGGTCAGTGGCGGCTCATGGCGGTGGCCACCACCTCATGGTGGTGGTGATGGGTTTTCGCGGTCACAAAACACACATACAACCTCGTAATTTCCGAAAACAATAGCTACATTCAAGCTCAAAATCATGAACACACCCGCAGCCACCTCCTATGGCGGCTGGTGGTGGTGACTCGGCAGCAGGAGGCGGCAGCCACCATGGTTGCCAGCCATGGTGGGTTTTTCTCGCTAACTCACACACATAATTCCCAAGAACGCAGCAATCAGTAGGTATAATCGAATGCTCAATCATACAGCCGCTTCCTAGGCGGCTAAAGTCGTCGGAAAACGCACATAGCCCCCCCCCCCCCCCCCCCCCCCCCCCCCACGGCCACCGACGTCGACATTGACGTCTCCGGCATCGGTACCCACAGAAAACAGCGAGGGAAATAAGAATAATGGATTGCGGATGGGCTTACCACGCATTTCCGGTGACTCACGGCCTGCACAACGACGCACAACGATATCGCCCGGTCCTCGATGTTTCTCCGGCAGCAGATGTCGCAATGGCGACGTTCGGTGGTCTCGTAGCAGCGGCGTCGGAGCAGCGACGGAAGGATGGGTGGCGGCTGGAGCTATAAGTGGCGGTTGGAGTCTTTGTCTAGGTTTAGGGTTACCAATCTAACATGGTGACGGGTTAAGAGCACCGACTATACCCGTGCTTCTTTACATTTCTGGACTTTTACAAGATCAGCCCCTCCTCACCATATATTCTTCAACTTTAACCTAATATTTCCCTTTTAACCCCCCCCTGAATCCATAAATTCATTACAATACAGGTCCTATAACTTACCAAATAACCCCCAGACCTCAGAAATCTTTACAAATTGAATCCGGAAATTACCATTTAGCCCTTGGTTCCAAAAATATACTCGGTTTAAGGCTATTACTCATTTATTAATTTCACATATTGATTTATTTAATAAACGGAATGTTACACAATCATTGATGAGGTGTTTCGGGTTGTTGATGTTTATGTCCATAGTGATCTCGACTGCTTGGTTGCGTAGGTCTTGTGGTTTGGCTTAGGTCTTGTGTTCTGAACGTCGTAACTTCTTTATACGATATCAGATTTTAACGATCTTTATATCCACACATTCGTTTTTCTAGTTTACTACAACTTTCGATAAGATTACTCCCGTTAAAATGTAATATATTTTTTTACTTACGATTTTATAAAAAAAAAACATCCATACATGCATTTATAAAAAACGTATGGATATAAAGATCGTAAGTAAAAGTATATTACTTTTCAACGGGAGTAATTTAAACAAAAGTTGTAGTAGAGTAAAATATGAACACATGGATATAAAGATCGTTAAAATATGAGATCGTATGAAGAAGATATGACGTTCATAACACATGACCTAAGCAACCAAGTAGTCGAGATCACGATGTACATAAGCATCAAGATCCCCACACACCTCATTAATGATTGTCCCACGTAAGATGTCATGAGAAAAAGCTTAAAAAATCTTTCATAAGTACTGAATGAGTACAAAAACAAAAATGACTTATTTTCTTCATATGATCTTAATATGTACAAAATGTGTACAAAATCTTTCATATATATATATATATATATATATATATATATATATATATATATATATATATATATATATATATATAGAGAGAGAGAGAGAGAGAGAGAGAGATAGGTTCAGGTGTTTAATATATCTATTGTGTTATTGTATGCATAAATATGGGCCAATCAAAATTTAAAATAAAAATAAATAATTAAATAAATCAATGAGGGTTATTTAGTAATTTGATAAATGAATTCTATAAATAGTGCCTTTATTTTAGGGATCCGTTTATTATTAACCCTATTAAAATCCACCTCCACCGTAATAGGATCACACCGGTGAACTAAATCCTAAATCCGCCTATTTCTTCCTCTCTGCGTCGTATGTCACTTTCCTCATTGTCTCCATCACCAATTAATCGTCCTCCTCACCACTGCTTCTTCCGCCTAATACCATTTACAGTTTCTGATGAAAATCAATGGCAGTGGCTCAATCTTCGTCGATCAATGAAGCGTACTCGCCTCTCCCCTATCTTTACTCGACTTTCACGTCAATCTGGCTCGTTTTCACTTCTGTCGACCGGAAGGAGGAGGCGCGAATAAGAGGAGGTGCGATTTTGGGATGTGTAGATCGGATTTGAGAAGTGAAGAAGGAAAAATCGATGCTGGATCATCAACACTTACATCAATCGCCGTTTTCAGGTTACGTCTACATTCAACTAGTTGATTACTATCGGAGTCCTAAATATCTAGATTTTGTTTGTATATAAAATTTTGGATTTGAGTAGGATCGATGCTATCTTGTTGAAGCTAATTGTGTTTAATTGTTTGATTGTGTTGTGATGATATTAGAGCAGGTGAACAATTTGCAGTGGACTCCAGGCTTTGTGGTCGATGGGAACAGCAGAGAAGGAAGAAAATGATGGGAAAAGGGAGGACCTATGGGGTTTGGCTAGACCGAAGGAAGAAGCAACGAAGCTGCGGTGGCCTTCTGTGGGTGCAGATGGGAGTTGTAGGGCGGCAGTGGGTCGTCTAGGGTGGTCGCAGTCGGCATTTCCGTTTGCTTTTTTGATGTTTGTTTCTGTTTGTTTTTCTTGTTTTAGACAGAAATCAATAGAGGGAAAAGATGGGTGTTTGGGTTTGTTGTTTTTACAAGGAAGAGAACATGAAATTGGGGCTATTGACCATTGAAACAGAAAGGGGAAGGGGGAGTTGCAGTTAAACAGGTGAGCAGGGGGCTGTTTCTGCAGCCTCTTCGTTCTTCATCTTTTTTTTGTTTAATTTTTAATGGTAATGGAAGCAAGAAATCAGTGGCTTTTGCTTGTGGAATCGGTGATGAGCAAGGATGACCAAGAGAGGGTTGTTGCTCTCTTGATTACTGGGAATTTTACCCATCTCTAGTGGTGTTCTTTGGCAGGAAAACAAAGGAGAAGAACAGGGAAGGCTTTGGTTGCTTCATTTGACAAAAAAGAGTAGGAAGAACAATGGTGATGATCTCTTCTTTGATTGGGTATGTTTCTTTTGATTGGGTTTTACAAGTTAAATAGATAAAAAAAAATCAATTATCTTGATGATCTTATTACATAGTTGTGAATTTTGATAGATATGGAGTACATTGTGATCTAAGGGAAAGAAAACATAAACGTGTGGTACAATTCTTGAGATTGACATGAAGAAGATAAAAAGAATCATGAATTCCAATTCTATTGGAATGGAATCATGAATTCCAATTCTGTTGGAATCTAAACTACAATTTGGTTTTGTTTTGACAGAAGTTGATGCTTGAAGAACGGACCGCAAATTTCAAAGTGATTCTAAGCATTCTCAGAGAATATTATTCTTACATGATTTGATTCATGACAGTTATTTTCGTTAAATATCTAATTTCATGGATGATCAAGGAAAGAGCTATTCTTCTGATAGAATAATCTACAATAGAATGATAGGAGTATATGTAATAATATATTCTGCTAGAATATTCAGGTCGAATAATATACATATTTTTATTTGTTATTAGTGAGTATTTCATTGTCATAGAATATTATATAAAGTTTTTACATTTTTAAGAATGTAATGAAATATTTGAAGTTGTATCCAAAAATGTGTTATTAGTCGGTGTTGGCATTCTCATAGATTATCATTCTAATAGAAATATGTATCCTGAAATTCGTAGAGAATATGATTTTAACAGAATAAAATCGAGTTTAATTATAAAAATTACGTTATAATTAAAATTAAAGTAATTAAAAAAATTAGAATTTTAAAATCAAGAGAGTTAATTATCCCAAAAAATATGGAATTTTCCTTTTTTAAATTTATCTCAATTGTCTAAAATACCCTTAGAATGAAATTAAATGGTATTTTTCAATTATCTTTAATTTAATAATATATATTAATCATTTTCTTAAATTAAGTAAAATGATTGGTTCACATTTATGAATATATAATATATATATATATATATATATATATATATATATATATATATATATATATAGGCTTAGGTTATTCTATTAAAACTAATTATTGTGTTATTGTATGCATAAATGTGGACCAATCATTTTACTTATTTTAAGAAAGTGATTAATACATATTATTGAATTAAAAATAATTAAAAAATACCATCCAATTTAACTAGAAGGGTATTTTAGTCAATTAATACATATTTAATAAAGAAAATTTGCATATTTTAAGGGATCATAGATTCTATTAATTTTAAAATCCGATTTTACTAATTATAAGGTTTTTAATTCGGACATTCTGACAGAATATGTTTGAGTATGTTCAAAAATAATAATATTCTAGAATGACAAAATTTTCTTGATCATGGCTTTAAAAATTTCTTGTAGAATAACAAATTCTCGAACCAGCAATTGAAGAATTAAAAAAAAATTACATTAATTCTTATAGAATACATGTAACATTTGTTAAGAATTACATTTATTATTAAAGAATAAAACTAAAAAACTTTCAAATCGAAAAAAAAACATCAAAATCTAACAAATACACTAATTCATTCTAAAAGAATAATGTTTCTAAGAAACACTTTTAATTTTGTTGTCCGTTCTTCAAGCATCAACTTCTTCAAGCATCAACTTCTGTGAAAACAAATCCAATTGTAGTTTAGAATCCAATAACGCATTAGCAAATGATAAATAAAAAACTATATTCCTTTGGAAAAATAAGCGGACTTGTTAACTGCACCAAAACCAATAACCAAAAATTGTAGAACATGTATAATCAATGAGAAAAAATCCATATTCCATTCCAACAAAATTAGAATTCGTGTTTCCATTCCGATAGAATTTGAATTCGTGATTCTATTCTGATAGAATTAGCTTACCACATAAATCGTTGATCCTTTTGGCCATTTCCTTTACATCTTTTTCAGCTTTCTTGATGCTTGTGGAATATGGCCCCAATCCCTGCATAAGTCTTCATCAATTCAGTTGCGATAAACAAAACATTTCAACCAACACAAACTATCAACTCAAACGTTTCTCTATAATGCCCATGAACTCTAGTAAAATGCAAGATAAAGATCAAACTATCCTAAGTTCCTAACAGCTGAAGGCATTTAAAAATCAATTTTAAATCAAATTGTATTAAATCGCAGCAATTCATCAGCTTTAATAACTTCTTCTCCACTGAAATCGACGCAGCAGAGGGAGACTTGCCTTCTTACCCTTTTTGAGCCTACCAGACGAGATACTTCCGAAAGTTAGATGATTCCTGCCGTTCTCGATTATTTCTGCCTTTTTTGGAGTCAAACACCTTCCTTTTTCTCCCCTAAAAACCGTGAAGAATTAGAGAGAGGGTGTGGGTGGATTGTGTGTGTGTTTTGCGTACGACTGGAATCGAGAGAGGGAGAGAAGCTGAGAGTGAGAACGAGGAAGAGTCCATGGATTCTCATACAAGCGATGTTGATCGAGAAGTGGTATCGCAAGAGAGAATAAGAAAACGAGTTTCAAGTTGATGTTCAAGGAATTCCCGATTTGTGTGTGTGAAAAAGATTTCCAGCAACCCCAAATTGATATAATAAGAACCCTAATCGAAAATCATACCTGGATCGTGAAAAGGGGATAAATCGTAGCCGAGATCGACATGATTCACGGGCTTCTTAGGCTTGCTTTTTCGTCAAGATAGGAGGGCCGGTGAGGCTTGATTGGAGGCAGCAGCCTCCGGTTTCTTCTTTGGTTTTTCCAGCGAACAATAAAGATGACGCGAGAGAGAGAGAGAGAGAGCTTCTCCAAAACGTCTATTGAAAGTCGGTAAAAGGGGATGTGTTGTTGGCTTTCTCCAATCTCGCCATCTGGTTGGGACAGAAGGGCGGTGGATACGGTGGTCGGAGGAGCAAGAGGGTAGGGTGGCGGCCGGTGGTGGGAGGCATAAGGATGGAGGTGACGGCTGGAGATGGTTTGATTAGGGTTACGGTGGTTTTAAAAAGCCTAGTAGTTGAAGTCAATGGTTACCATAATTATAGGATATTATTTGTGCAAACTAATTATCAAATTACCTATTTACCCTTATTTATTTATTTAATTATTTATTTATATTTTAAATTTTGATTGACCCACATTTATGCATACAATAACACAATACTTACTTAAAATACCTGAACCTATATATATATATATATATATATATATATATATATATATATATATATATATATATATATATATATATATATATATATATATTAAGGACTAAATGTGTACAAAAATATTAAAGACTAAATATGTACAAAGTGAGAAATATATTACCCTATTAAGTCATTTTTACCGGCTAACCTGAAGTAGTCGGTCATAAGGACTGAATGTGTACAGTTTAACAAGTTGAATGGGTAAATGTGGACGAAAAAAAAACTCAATGACCAAATGTATAGAAATCGAAAAATATATTACATTTTAAGTCATTATCCGTAAGGCTTGAGGGAGTGGCCTCGCCACCCCTCTCGCCAAAAGGTTCGCTATGAGATGCTATACCATCCCTAACAGCTCGCTAAAGGACGCGCCGGGAAGAATTCGTTAAGAAGCTATCGAGATGAGAGAGAATGAAAAGCTTAAATCTGATTGGTTAATTTCTTTTTCTATTATTTTTTTTCGTGATTCACCTTCGGTTCGCTATTGCCTCCCTTAATCTCCTCTCCACAAATTTGAGTTATTCATTTGCTTTCGGGAAAAAAATCACAATTTCTAAGCTTGATAATGGAAAATAGGAGACTATCGTTGCAACTAGTTGCTGGGAGGAAGAAGATAGAAATCTGAATTTGACAGAAATAGACCTCCAAAAATCACATACTTACACATCACACCCGCTATATTAATTCCTCTCACAAACAAAGTTTCTGAAATTACCAAAAGGACCCTGCACTTAAATTTTATACTTATTTTAATGTAATTGATTTTGTATTATATTAATTGTTGGTGGTTTAAACAAATAAAATTTGATTAATATTTGTGCATAAAAAATGTTTGTGTATTAAAAGAAATTAGTTTAATTTAATAAAAAAAATCGAGTGCTAGGGGTGTTACCACTCCCTACCAAATGCTAAGATTAGGTGCTAAATGGAGAAAAATGATATGACACTCAAAAAACTGATATGACAAGATGCTAGGAGTGTTACCACTCCCCTTAGCCTAATAGTAAATCCCAACACCATTTTCGTATTGGAGTCGATGTGGGACTCTTTCATGTCATATATATATATATATATATATATATATATATATATATATATATATATATATATCATGCCTTCTGTTCTCTCTCTCTCTCTCTCTATATATATATATATATATATATATATATATATATATATATATATATATATATATATTTGTTTTTTTTTGTTACCAAACACATTAACCTAAGTCCTTCAAAATATTTAAAATAGGTCTTACTTTTATTTTTGTATGCAATTTGTTGTAAACTTATTAAATTTAGGTGGATCAAATGATCCAATTTGGAAAAACATAGCCTCACCCCTGCCACCAATTCCCTACTATATAGCATATGGACAACCCTTATTCACAAAAAAACAATGAAAAAATCCTCATCTCCAACAGAAGAGCATAGTCCTATTAAAAGCAAAAACAAACTTTCCACCCCCAACTGATAATTGATATATAGTAAGTTTGATGCATAGTAATTGTATACATGAAAATAGTGGGCCGGACTAAAGACAATGCCATATCTTATTTATTTTCGTAATTTTAAAATTAGTAATTGTATTTCACGTACAATAATAACAATATATTTTATTGTAATTTGAAAAGTATATTTGTGTTATCGGATAAAATACTTGACTTCAATCAATTTATAAAAAATATTTGAACAATGGTGAAAGGACTATTATTTCATGTACACAATAATAACAAGGGATAGAGGTCGACCAAAAAGAAGGTAACGCTGGCAAAAGAATCTTTGAACAATGGTTGAAAGGACTATTATGTTTTTTAGTTCAATTTTACATCTATGAAATTTAAAGAGAAAGTGATCAGGAGTCCAATTTTATTTTTGCAAACTTATATATTTTATACTTAAGCGAATCTAAAAATGAGGTAAATACAATAATAATATTTGCATAACCACAGCCACACAGCAATATCCTCACAATCCCCATTTTATTGTCGTCGACATCACCACTTTGAATAATCTAGACCTCTACCCACTACGCCGACAACTTGAGTATCTTTGAGACAAGTATTCATCACAACTATTTCAATAATTTTTTTTATGTATTTATTTGTGTAATGTCATTTTATTACTTTTTCTAACATATACAAAAATTTAATTTTAGATGAAATTTGAATATTTTTCATTTTTACATAAAACAACATTTTGTTATTATTATTTTACTTATAACATGTTTAACAAATTAAAATTGTGATTACTTAATTCACATCAGTTTTCATAAATTTAAATTTTGTATATCTTCGTAAAAAAATATATTGTCGCTTAAATTGATTAAAAAGTAACAGTTGTTGCACAAAATATATTTGGCCGGTGTCGCATCATTAGTTAATTGGTTCTTGATTAAGATTTTTGCATATTTAGGTTATAAAATAAACGAGTTGACAATGTGTAACAAATTAACTTAATCAAATCAATTATGAGGTTTGTGTTTTTTTGTGCAATAATGAGTGTCACCGTGCATCCAAAGGCAAATACATATAATGTAAAAGCAGAAAAATATAAAACATTTACTCGAAACAAAAAAATATTAAATTTAAGGAGATACGTATTTTTCTCACAACAATCGCTATAACTATGTGAAAAAACTCCTTTCAATTTTCTGATTAGATTTTGAGAACTAGTAGAGTAAGTGATACATAGCTTTTGAAATATATGTCATTATTTAATTTTGAAACATTTTAGTAATGTTTGGCCGACTAACTGAAAACTAGTTTGGTAGCTAATAAATTACTTATAAATTAACAATGTTTAATAAAAAATAAATTATAAGCTAGATTGTAATGTAAATCGACATAAATAAATATTTAAATATATAACTCAAAAATCTATATAATTAAGAATATATTTGTAATCATATCAATAACTAGTTTAGAAATTAGTTCGTAAGCTCTAAACTATTTTTTATTTTACTAAACAATAAATTAAAATAACTTAGCTTATAATCTATAAAATTGACTTAGAGATATGTTCATATACAAAATGGGTGGACCTGTACGACATCAATAATTCCCAAAAAGAGTAATTGGTCACATCAAAATAATGGATAAGTAATTGTATAAACATGCATTTAACCCTCTAAAGAAAGTATTGGTCATGGAACATCCCATAATTACAATCATACCCTTCCCCTCACAAAAGATTCTTGTATATCTGGACATTTTTGGCATTTATTTTTTTCACGATTCAGAGTTCTATTCTTTAAAATTTTGAATTCTTATCGCTGCAAAAAGCTCAGAAGACAAATCACACACACAGGTATTATGTTTTATTTATTTATTCACAATCATATATACATGTTATTGTACTGCTTGCTTGATGGTTTCGTTAGTCCAACTGCACTTGCAAATTTAGAATAATTCACTTTTTTTCCTCTGATTTTTAAAATATTTGTTTTGTGTAAGAACAATCGGTGAAGAAAAAAAACATGTGAGTGTTTTCTAAAATAAACCTGGAAACCAAGGCTATAAGAGGATGTTAAAAACTTAAAATCTACTATGCCCATTCACCTTTGATTTTTGTTTTACCTTTTAATAGCCATGTTTTCATATGTATCTGTATGTGTTCTTAAAAAAGATTGATAAGTAAATATCTTTTGATATTATTATATTTGTTGTTCTCATAAGAAAAACATATAGCTAAAACAGGAATTATTGCTTTTTACTTGTTAGTGTATCAACTTCGAATGAATTATGCTAATAATCAAGAATATGTTGATTTCAACTATTTTCTAACTATCCAATCTCACTACATGCTCATATTTCTTCAAATCTAGATGGTTTATATTTGTGTTTTTATATTTAATTTTACTCTCTGATTGTGAATATATAGACTTGATTGATCCTCTGGGTTCCATTTGTTAGCATAATTTCTGATCGGATTTTTTTTTCCGTTTATATTTTAGACTAGTTATTTTCCTTTAGTAGTTTCATCTCTTTCATTGTAAATAAACTTCCAATCAATAATAACACATTAGCCATCTTTGGCTCTCAATTCGATCCATTGTTTATAAAGTGGGATTCCACATATATAGATAAAAAAAGATATAAAAACGTGTCGGCTTGTGACTAAAAATATAGATTTTTATGAATAGAATATTCAATTTGCTTAACTCGTTTAAAAAAAATGAAAAAGATGTCGATATAAAATCTCATATGGGCCTTCTTTACCATTCAAATAGTAAAATAGTAAAAGATACCTGTTTGGGGCATGAACTGACCATAGTCAAACCCATACAAAATCAAACGAATCCCACATGGATGATGACGATGGGGTCGCCATAGATGTGTTTTGGTCCTTTTTTTTGAGAGAACAGAAGCTTCTGCTCTTCATCTTCTTTAGATTTTGGGGATTTTCTGGTTTCAGGGGTTTGTGCATCGAGAGCACAGACTAAATTGAAGCAAAATTAAGGGTTCAGAGTGTGTGAGTGGAAACTAAATTGAAGCAAAAAAGTATGGTATAATTGGTTGCTAGTGAAATTGATGCTTTCTATTACTATCATCTTTAAAATTGTCAAAACATTATGTATTAAATTATGAGATCGCAAGTGGTCTATGGGCCAAAGGTAATACAAGCTTACTCAATGAAATGAATCTAGGATGCATCATGCATGTATTGGTTAGATTAAAGATTTTCATCAAATTTCCTTTATCAAATTGTTGTATACCATATTATGTAGGTGCTACCACAAGCCATAATATCAAGCAATGGATTGTCTTACTGGCATCTTTAGCAACCCGTTTGCTCAGTGTCTCATCAATCCCGTGAAAGAACACCTTTGCCTTCTGATTTTCTATACACAATATGTAGGGGATATGCTTACTGCAATGACGGAGTTGAATGCTGCAAAAGACATTGTTGAAGAGCAGAAGAATCAAAACATAGAAAAATATTTTGAGGTTCCAAACCATGTCAACCGTTGGTTGGAAGATGTTCAAACAATCAACAGAAAAGTGGAACATGTTCTTAACGATAATTGCAATTGGTTCAATCTATGTAATAGGTACATGCTCGCAGTGAAAGCCTTGGAGATAACTCAGGAGATCAATCATGCCATGAAACGACTCTCTGAGATGGAATGGATTGATGATTCATTTCCTTTGGGAAGAAATGATTCCACAAAGGCATCCACCTCTACACCATCAAGTGATTACAATGACTTCGAGTCAAGAGAACACACTTTTAGGAAAGCACTCGAAGCACTAGGATCCAACCACACATCCCACATGGTAGCCTTATGGGGGATGGGTGGAGTTGGGAAAACCACGATGATGAAGAGGCTGAAAAAGATTATTAAAGAAAAGAGGACATTCCATTATATTGTTTTGGTGGTTATAAAGGAAAATATGGATCTCATTTCCATCCAGGATGCTGTAGCAGATTACCTGGATATGAAGCTAACAGAAAGCACTGAATCAGAAAGAGCCGATAAACTTCGTGAAGGGTTTCAGGCTAAATCAGATGGAGGTAAGAATAGGTTCCTCATAATACTGGATGATGTATGGCAGCCTGTTGATATGGAAGATATTGGTTTAAGTCCTTTTCCGAATCAAGGTGTCGACTTCAAGGTCTTGTTGACCTCGCAAAACAAAGATGTCTGTGCAAAAATGGGAGTTGAAGCTAATTTTATTTTCGACGTGAAATTCTTAACAGAAGAAGAAGCACAAAGTTTGTTTTATCAATTTGTAAAAGTTTCTGATCCCCACCTTGGTAAGATTGGAAAAGCTATTGTAAGAAAGTGTGGTGGTCTACCCATTGCCATCAAAACCATAGCCAATACTCTTAAAAATAGAAACAAGGATGTATGGAAGGATGCACTTTCTCGTATAGAGCATCATGACATTAAGACAGTTGCACCTATTGTTTTTGAAACGAGCTACGATAATCTCCAAAACGAAGAAGCTCAATCCATTTTTTTGCTTTGTGGATTGTTTCCTGAAGACTTTGATATTCCTACTGAGGAGTTGGTGAGGTATGGATGGGGCTTGAGAGTATTTAATGGAGTGTATACTATAGGAGAAGCAAGACACAGGTTGAACGCCTACATCGAGCTGCTCAAGGATTCAAATTTGTTGATTGAAAGTGATGATGTTCACTGCATCAAGATGCATGATTTGGTGCGTGCTTTTGTTTTGGATACGTTTAATAGATTCGAGCATTCGTTGATTGTCAACCATGGTAATGGTGGTATGTTAGGGTGGCCTGAAAATGATATGAGTGCCTCATCTTGCAAAAGAATTTCATTAATATGCAAGGGCATGTCCGATTTTCCTAGAAACGTAAAGTTTCCAAATCTCTTGATTTTGAAACTTATGCATGGAGATAAGTCTTTGAAGTTTCCTCAAGACTTTTATGGAGAAATGAAGAAGCTTCAGGTTATATCATATGATCACATGAAGTATCCCTTGCTTCCAACATCACCTCAATGCTCCACCAACCTTCGTGTGCTTCATCTTCATCACTGCTCATTGATGTTTGATTGTTCTTCTATTGGAAATCTGTTGAATCTGGAAGTGCTCAGCTTTGCTAATTCTGGCATTGAGTGGTTACCTTTCACAATCGGAAATTTGAAGGAGCTAAGGGTACTAGATTTGACAAATTGTGATGGTCTTCGTATAGATAATGGTGTCCTAAAGAAATTGGTGAAACTTGAAGAGCTTTATATGAGAGTTGGTGGTCGATATCAAAAGGCCATTAGCTTCACTGCTGAAAACTGCAATGAAATGGCAGAGCGTTCAAAAAACCTTTCTGCATTAGAATTTGAGTTCTTCAAAAACAACGCTCAACCAAAGAATATGTCATTTGAGAATCTTGAACGATTCAAGATCTCAGTGGGATGTTATTTCAAGGGAGATTTCGGTAAGATCTTTCACTCTTTTGAAAACACGTTGCGGTTGGTCACCAACAGAACTGAAGTTCTTGAATCCAGACTTAATGAGTTGTTTGAGAAAACAGATGTCCTTTATTTAAGTGTGGGAGATATGAATGATCTTGAAGATGTTGAGGTAAAGTCGGCACATCTTCCTAAATCCTCTTCCTTCCACAATTTAAGAGTCCTTATCATTTCTGAGTGTATAGAGTTGAGATACCTTTTCACACTTGATGTTGCAAACACTTTGTCAAAGCTTGAGCGTCTTCAAGTTTACGAATGCGATAATATGGAAGAAATCATACATACAGAGGGTAGAGGAGAAGTGACAATTACATTCCCAAAGCTGAAGTTTTTATCATTGTGTGGGCTACCAAATCTGTTGGGTTTGTGCGGTAATGTGCACATAATTAATCTACCACAACTCACAGAGTTGAAACTTAATGGCATTCCACGTTTCACAAGCATATATCCTGAAAAAGATGTTGAAACATCTAGTTTGTTGAATAAAGAGGTAAATGTGTTTTATGTTAATACAATACAATCTTTTCAATTAACCGTTTCAAAATATATTGTATGATTTATTTTTGTTTGGATGGGGTTATTAATGGATGATTATTTCGCAGGTTGTAATCCCTAATTTGGAGAAACTTGATATTAGTTATATGAAGGATTTGAAAGAGATATGGCCTTGTGAATTAGGGATGAGTCAGGAAGTTGATGTTTCTACGTTGAGAGTGATTAAAGTAAGCAGTTGTGATAATCTTGTGAATCTATTCCCGTGTAATCCCATGCCATTGATACATCACCTTGAAGAGCTTCAAGTGATATTTTGTGGTTCCATTGAAGTGTTATTCAACATCGACTTGGATTCTATTGGTCAAATTGGGGAAGGCATAAAGAATAGCAGCTTGAGAATCATCCAATTGCAGAACTTAGGTAAGCTAAGTGAGGTATGGAGGATAAAAGGTGCTGATAACTCTAGTCTTCTCAGCAGTGGCTTTCAAGGTGTTGAAAGCATTATCATTAACAAATGCAAGATGTTTAGAAATGTATTCACACCTACCACCACCAATTTGGATCTGGGGGCACTTATGGAGATTCGGATACAAGATTGTGGAGAAAAGAGGAGAAACAACGAATTGGTAGAGAGTAGCCAAGAGCAAGAGCAGGTATGGCTTTCAATTTCACTTTCTTACTTAATGAAGGATTAAGCTCCTGCTTTTTGAATAAAAATTGAATGAATGACTAAATTCGGGATGCCAACTGGAAAGTTATCAACCATTTAGCTACACCATTTTTTTGAACTAATGTTGCAATACATATGCATACTATAATTAAAAACTGGTCCTCGATAAATGTAACCAACCTTTTTTATTTATTAAAATGACTACAATAAATGATTTTCTTTATTATATATCATTTTATAACAATAAGCTTAAAGATGTTTAAATAGCCAATGTCGATCATAATATGTAACTAAATTTTCATTAACCAGTTTTAGTTAAGATATCACTCATTATTATTTTTATAGAAAAAAGACAAGATTGGCTAATACTCATAAGATTTCTGGAAGATTTAAGCAAATTATTAAGCTTTTCCAAACATAGCCAGTAATTTCTTTTGCAGGTCCCATCTACGAAATTATCAATAGATTTTCGATTTTTTTAGCACCTGTGAAATTTCCATTAATTAAAAAAAAAAAGTTCAAGCCATTTTGTAGTTGGCACCTGCGAAAATGGTCAGTTTTCACCATTTCGCATCTATGACTTGTGAAAATGGTAATTTGTGAAATGGTCATGTGCACCTGCGAAATGCGAAATGGTCCGTAAATCCCAAAACGTCAGGGGCAGGCGCAAGATTTCACAGTAGGGGTTGCACGGGAAAGTCAGGGGTTGCACGGTAGTAGAAAAAATAAAAATTTCGAAAAATTTTCCATTGCGACTGGAAAAGTCAGGGGTTGCCGGTGCCACCATGGACCCCCTAGGACCGCCCCTGCAAAACGTGATAGGCATTGATTCAGGATAGATAGAGCGTGTAGAGAATCTGTATGGCTGAAACATCCGTCGTATAAAAGCCAATAATACTTTGGGCCACATATGGCTCCAACAACAGCTATGTAGAATTAGGGATGGCTGTGGATTGCATATGTGCAATAGGTACACTATGTGCTCTATTAGGACGCCCGGGCGATGAAGTCATCATTTAATACGAGCAATGAAATCATTTTCAAAAAATGATTACAAATGAATAAAATATTAAATTAAACTTAAAACATTTTTGTAGTAGTTTGAAATTTACAAACTGAAATTTGTTATATTTGTTAATTAACATTTATAAATATTGTATTATGATTTTTTCCTCGTTTGCAAATATTCCTTAAAAATCCATCTAAACTCAAAATAATTAATCTTTTCAAGTTGAAAAATGAAAATCGTATGATATAACCGTGTATGGATGTGGAATTATATATCAGTTACTAATTACATTTTTTGTTGGGATATATGTGCGCAGATTGATATTGCAATCCCATTCACTCTCACACACTCTTTTCAAAACCTCCGTAAACTTGCATTGGAAAAGTATGAAGGAGTGGAGGTGGTGTTTGAGATAGAGAGTCCAACAAGTAGAGAATTGGTAACAACTCACCATCAACAACCACTACTTCCCAACCTTGAGTTATTGGATATAAGTTTTATGGACAGCATGAGTCATGTATGGAAGTGCAACTGGAATAAATTCTTCATTCTTCAAAAACAAGAGTCAGAATCCCCATTCTGTAATCTCACAACCATACATGTTCAATATTGCCAAAACATTAAGTACTTGTTTTCAACTCTCATGGCAAAACTTCTTTCCAACCTAAAGAAGGTCGAGGTAAGAGAGTGTCATGGTATAGAAGAAGTTGTTTCCAACAGAGACGATGAAGATGAAGAAAAGACTACATTTACATCTACATCTTCTGAAAAAAGCACTAATTTGTTCCCTCGTCTTGAATCTCTCGCTCTTTATCAACTTCCAAATCTCAAGTGTATTGGTGGTGGTGGTTCTGTTGGGAACAATGAAATATCTCTTGATAATTCCACTACTACTACTTTTGTTGATCAATCTAAGGTATGTTTTTTTTTTTTTTTTTTTTTTTTGTTTACATATTTTACAACATATTAATTAATTTTGTTTTTAATATCCATTTCTTCTTTTCAACATTCTATAAAGATCACAAAATCACATACCAAGAGATTTACACTTCTATTGTTCACCCATTACCTACTCTGCAAACTCATGAATGGGATTATCATGTGGCATAAAAAGTTCCATTCGTTTGAACAAATATTACTATATATTTGTTAGTTATCAAAATTCATATCGATAACTGATAAGATTTTCTTTCTTTTTCTACTTAATTAGATAATGCTCACACGTCTAACCAACTTAGGCTTGCTATTCTATGTGAACCCTTTGTTTTTTTTGTAACCAAGCACCTTAAATATTTTTTTCATTTGCAATTTGTGTTTACTTTGGACAGATTTTTCTTTTATAGCTGTAATTCCAATGAAATTTATATTTAAGTTCTAATATACATAATAATACATGTTATGCACACTATACTAACATATTAGACACGCTAAAGGATAAAAGCTATGCCTCATATAATACGCTATATTTATAATCTTTAAACAATCAAATTTATTAAAAAAAAAAAAAAAAAAAAAAAAAAACTCAGTGTGAGCAAAGGCAGGTACCCGACTAAATTGCCCAAAACCAGTATGGGCGGTTCGTGGAATGTTGGGCCAGGTCGTTAAACCGTCTACACACCGGTTCTTTAAATCACAGAACCGCTTCTCATACCGTGAACTTGGTTTTAGTTTTAAAAGAAAGTTTTATTATAAAGTAAATGACTTAACCATTACAAACAACAAAAATTTACCAGTACAATGTTGGGCTATCATTATCTGCAACAAAAAACTGAAAATACACATATTTCCTTCTCATATCAGCATGGCTGCATGGGTGACTGGTTGGCTAACCCAAAAATCCTTGCATTGTAGATGTGTTACAACACATAGTATCAATTACAGCCATTTTAGGCTAGAATTTAACAATCTGTAATAATATTCCCTAAAACTAATATCATCATCAACCAAACTAATAGAAAACTGTTGGGTTTGTCATTTTAGGTACAAAACATAGATTTTTCTAAGTTTGTTGTGTTTAAACATATGCTTTCTCAACTTAATTGATTTTGCATTCCAAAATTTTAGGTTGTAAAGTGGTATGTCATTTGTTGTCTTTTCAATTAATCCCAACATTAATTGTAGAAAAACCAAAACTACATAATTGATGTAGATATCATAGCACTCGTGTCACTTAGTATATAAAAACTAAATTTTGAATTGAATTTCTTATACAAAAGTTGTGTCTATGTATACGTGTTTATGTAGGTAATAGACAATTAGTCTCTGTTAAGTATATGGAGTTTAATTTTTAGACTGATTTTTCATGTGTTGCAGTTTTATCAGGCAGGTGGCGTTTTTTGGACGTTATGCCAATACTCCAGAGAGATAAAATATAAGGGAGTGTTATGCATTGTCAAGTGTAATTCCATGTTATGCTGTAGGACAGATGCAAAAGGTTCAAGTGCTGAATATCTACAGGTGCAACTCAATGAAGGAGTTATTTGAAACTCAAGGGATGAACAACAACAATGGTGACAATGGTTGTGATGAAGGAAATGGTTGTATACCAGCAATTCCAAGACTAAATAATGTTATTATGCTACCCAATCTAAAGATATTGAAGATTGAAGATTGTGGTCATCTGGAACATGTATTCACATTCTCTGCACTTGAAAGCCTGAGACAGCTCGAAGAGTTAACGATAGAGAAATGCAAGGCAATGAAAGTGATAGTGAAGGAAGAAGATGAATATGGAGAGCAAACAACAAAGGCATCTTCAAAGGAGGTTGTGGCCTTTCCTCGTCTCAAGTCCATTGAACTGGAAAATCTACAAGATCTCATGGGTTTTCTACTTAGGGAAGAATGAGATCCAGTGGCCTTCATTGGATAAGGTTATGATCAAGAATTGCCCAGAAATGATGGTGTTTGCATCTGATCAGTCAACAGCTCCCAAGCGCAAGTATATAAATACAAGCTTTGGCATATATGGGATGGAGGAGGTACTTGAAACTCAAGGGATGAACAACACTAATGATGACAATTGTTGTGATGATGGAAATGATGGAATTCCAAGACTAAATAATGTTATTATGTTTCCAAATATAAAGATATTGCAAATCAGCAATTGTGGCAGTTTGGAACATATATTCACATTCTCTGCACTTGAAAGCCTGATACAGCTCAAAGAGTTAACAATAGCGGATTGCAAGGCAATGAAAGTGATTGTGAAGGAGGAATATGATGTAGAGCAAACAAGGGCATCGAAGGCCGTGGTCTTTTCTTGTCTAAAGTCCATTACACTATGTCATCTACCAGAGCTGGTGGGTTTCTTCTTGGGGAAGAATGAGTTCTGGTGGCCTTCATTGGATAAGGTTACCATCATTGATTGCCCACAAATGATGGTGTTCACACCTGGTGGGTCAACAACTCCCCACCTCAAGTACATACACTCAAGCTTAGGCAAACATAGTCTTGAATGTGGCCTTAATTTTCAAGTCACAACTGCTGCATATAGTCAGGTATAATTATTATTCTTTTACGCCATCTAATTAAGGAATCATGATGCTAATTACAAGTATTAAACACATTAATACTAGTTTCAGTATCAGTTTATGTTGTCACTTGAATCAAAATTTTCCATTTTCCAAAGTAAACCTTAATCCAACTTACCTTATGAGATAAAAAAAAATAGTTACCCATTGCACAACTTTTAGTTGGAGTCAAATATCATCATCATTTATGAATGAGATCTCTTCAATTTCGTTGAAGTTACAACATATTACATTTCAAATGTTTTTGTTTAACATAAGCCCCTTGCTTTTTCTTTATTGGACTTGCAGACCCCATTCCTGAGTTCGTGCCCTGCTACTTCAGAAGGGATGCCTTGGTCCTTTCATAATTTGATCGAAGTATCTTTGATGTTTAATGATGTTGAGAAGATTATTCCATCCAATGAGTTGCTACATCTGCAAAAGCTGGAAAAGGTTCATGTAAGGCATTGTAATGGGGTAGAGGAGGTATTTGAAGCATTGGAAGCAGGGACAAATAGTAGTATTGGTTTTGATGAATTGTCACAAACTACTACTCTTGTCAAACTTCCAAACCTAACACAAGTGGAGTTAGAGTATCTAGATTGTCTGAGGTATATATGGAAGACCAATCAGTGGACAGCATTCGAGTTTCCAAACCTAACAACAGTCATTATCAGAGAATGTCATGGGTTAGAACATGTATTTACTACTTCCATGGTTGGTAGTCTGTTGCAACTCCAAGAGCTACATATATATAACTGCAAATATATGGAGGAGGTAATCGCCAGGGATGCAGATGTTGTAGAAGAAGAAGAAGAAGATGATGATGATGACAAAAAAGGAAAGACATCACATTACCTTTTCTAAAAACTGTAACACTTGCTAGCCTTCCCCGTCTTAAGGGGTTTTGGTTAGGGAAGGAGGATTTTTCATTCCCATTATTGGATACTTTAAGTATTGAGGAATGCCCAGCAATAATGACTTTCACCAAGGGCAATTCTGCTACTCCTAAGCTAAAAGAAATTGAAAAGGGGAAGATATCAACTCCATTATAAAGATCAAATAAGAGGTAAGTAGACGTTTTCTGCTATAATAACTCTTAAAATACATTAAAAAAATTTGTCATGTATATTTTTTCTTATGGACAAAAGCCAGACATTCTTTATATTTTTAACTGAATATTTTATATCTTATTCAGGAATTCAGTACTAATAATATATTTTCATGTTGTAATTGTGTCATTATTGTCTGCAACCTTTTTTTCTTGTTATGCATCAGGGCCTTCAGTTTATGTATTTCAGATGTGTTATTCATGGTTATGTGAATTCTTGTGCTAGATTACAGGGTTTTTAGATGTAGTAGTATTATAAATATTTGGCTCGTTAGTCAAACATCTTTTTCCGAACAATTTTTCTAGTATGGCACTAGTTATACCAAGAAGTTATGGCATCTGGTATTGATTTCATAACCCAAAAGTGCTGTAAATATTTTATACCGGAAGGATGAGATTTTGGAAGTCTTACATGGCAAATACATGGATAAAGATTAAGGATCAGGGTTAGTTTAGGAAACCTTGAGAATAAATTGGTCATAAGGGTTAAGGATTAAGGAGGCAAAAGTTGAGTTCAGAAATGCTGGGAGATTACCTACTTATCTTGTTATTTTTAGGGTTAATGACATAAAAAACCTTAAGTTTTCAAGTTTTTGTCGGTTTTACCCTTTTGCAGATTTTAAATTCATTAAAACCGGATGTTTGTGATTTTTATATTTTTAATTTTTTTTTTAAATTTACCCTCTGGCTTATTAAAGCCCTTACGTTTGGCACAAATGTTTGGTTTTTTTTTTTTTGGTTCATAAAAGCCCTTAAGTTTGGTTTTCTCGTTCATTAAAAGCTTTAAATTTAATAGAAATTTTCAGTTTTACTGGATAAATTCGCAAAAAGGATAACATTGAAAAAAAGTTACAAATTTAAGGCATTTATAGATCTAAAATAAGACTTTGGGTAAAATCGACAAAAACTTGCATGCCTAAGGGTTTTTATGGCATTTTCCCTTATTTTTAAATAAGAGTTCTTGATTATGTAAATTATGTTTTTCATTCTCATAGTTATTTTTAAATAAGAATTCAATGTGGTTCATACCAAATTGATTTTGATTTATTAATATTTAAATGGTTTGATTTTGATTTGTCGATTTTTAGATGTTATACAACTCATTGACTAAAAAAGAAACCAAAATCTTGTATGAAACCCTTATATTAGTTATACATTCTTTACCCATGCCAGGTGTCGAAATCCTATGTGAAGCCGTGGAGAGAAAGCGAAGGTCAGGATTCGGCCACGTGTCCCCTTGCATCCTAATCCCATTAACTTCTAAATTCCCTAACTTTTGCATACGAGCTCCGTTTTCGACATTCTTTATATCCACGCGTAGGTATCGATGGAATCTACAACTTTTGTGTACACCCCGTCGGCTAAGTTTGACTTTATTTTTAAAGTTATATTTTAACAGACTTAGACAGATAAAGACCGTTAAAAATTCATTACTTCGTCATTCGACGCCCGTTTTCGTTTGTCTTTATATTGTTGAGCTCTTATTAACGAGATATTCGATACTCATTTAGATTGTCTCGGCTAAAAATCGATCAATCTAAAATTCGAATTACGGGTTGCATACTGCTATGTCAAATCTTAGAAATGTTGCACCGTAAATTTTCAAACAAAATTTTCATTTTAAAAATCACATAATTCTCATTAACACATTTTAAAAAATCCCAAAGTGTCAAATTATCAAAACGCATATCCACAATTGTTTAAATAAAATCCAGGATCCTCAAAACGTAACTCCATCTCGTGTGTACAATCAAGCCGACGCCTTCCCGCGATCCGGAGAAGTACCTGAAACACATATCACATAACACGGTAAGCACGAAGCTTAGTGAGTTCCCCAAAATACCGTACACATCTCATAAACCATTCATGGCTATACTCAAAATAAGATCCTCCGGTCAATGTGTCTCAATGGGACCCTCCGGCCCCACAACTCGGGTGGACCCTCTTGTCCTAACTCAGTAAGCTCAGAATAATACACCACATAATCACAAACATAAAGCAGGATATCTCAATACTCAATATAAACACCTAAGACCCCTTGTTCATAACTCAGTATATACACATAATAAGATGATAGCATAAGACAAAATGCATAATAACACATATCTCAGTATAAGCTCATAAGAATACACGTACACATGATAATACAACAGCATAAGTCACAAAGACAGTATACATGGTAGCACATATCACAGTATAAACAAACAGGACCCTCTAGTCAATAATGTAATAAGACCCTCTGGTCAATATTGAGGACCCTCCAGTCTCACAGCTCGGGTTGGACCCTCCGGTCCTGTATCTCAGTAAAGACCCTCCGGTCGCACAGAAATTACCACTCAGGTAAGTATAGTGAGAAGACTCACCTCGGATGATGAACGGCTCCTACAAATGTTGCGGCTGCACACCGGCCTCTACACTGAGCCAAAACCCACAATTAACTCAATTATGATCTAGGACCAATCCCTCTCTCATTAGGTCTAAAGATAGTGTTGGAGCATGAAAATGCTCTACAATATTGAGTGTTTATTAGGGTAGAATATTCCCTTGTATGAAAAGCATATTCCCTCCACTAGTATATAAAGTGGAGGTGATGGTCATTTTATTGTATTAGTGTTCACTATGTAGACTTTGTAGATTAGAGAGAGTGTGGTGGGATCTCTCCTACCAAGGGAGAGTTATCTCCCCCAAACCATGAGTGTTATTGTAATATTTGTTTCACATATCTTGTTCATCATGATCATACATGATTATCTTCTTTGTAATATCTTCCGCATCGATCCAATCGATAAAATGGGAACCCACAAGTGGTATCAGAGCGAGACCTTGGAGATCTCACGATTATTTCAAGGGAACGATCCCGATTGGTTTATTATCTTGAAGATTTTCGTCATTTATGAAGATTGTCTCAGCCTTCGCAACTGAAAAATCTTCTGTGAGTTATTTACTGTTTTGTTGGTGATGTTGCTAGAAAAATAAAAATTTTACTGCTACTGTTCAATATATTTTTGCTGCTGTTGAAGTTGAGTTTATGGAGAAAATATATTATATGCTGATGAAGATGAAGTTTCTATTAAAAAGATGGTCTTTGATCTTATTATCCCATGCAAAAAGATGTTTAGAAAATGACAAAAATATGATGTTGGGGTAAGAGATTGAACAAAGGGTCATAAGTTCGGAGTATGTGATTTTTAGACGGTTGGGATATTTATTTTGGAATGTACAAGGTGATTGAATTGGTGATACAAGTGCTAAATGCATGCTATTTCCGAAATGAAATTGATTGTTGGTGTGTGTGGATAAGATTTTCCAAGATGATATGATTTTTAGAATGACTTGGCAATCAATTTCGGAGAGTACAAATTTTGGCTGGTAATGTACAAGCTTATTATACCGTATGTGTGAAAAGCACATTGTTTGATGCATGCTGTTTTTGCGCTGAAAAGGAAGTTGATGTGTGGAATTAATTTTCTATAACAAGAAAGCCAAATGAATATCGGAGACGTGCATTAAATGGAAAAGTAAGATTGACGTGTGGGACTAATCTCCTATATCTCTTTTGTAATAAAAGCCTGCAGAGATGCTCTTTCCTTGGGTCCTACATTTTCTGTTCACCAATCATTCATTGACACATCAGCGCCGACCTCTCTGCATACGCCATCTCAGCAGACGGGTTCCACCTGCATTTAGTGTTTGAGTGTAGGTTAAATTCATGCTTGTCTGGACGTGGGAAAATGGTGGCCAAGTCTCAGTCAAAGAAGAGGCATTAAATGTTCTTTGCTTTTTGAAACAGTAATGTAACCGGGTATACCACTCTTTCATCCAGCGAGTGAAATTCACGCACCATTCATCACTTGACACGCCAGCCTGTCGGGTCCCACTTGCATTAAAATTGCAGCCCTATTGAAAGTCAAACAATGCAAGGACTCACTCTATTTTCCAACAGGCGCATGCAACCTCTCAACTTGTCTTGGTTTGAGTTTTGCTGCCACCACACGCATGCTTTCTGCCATACATCAGCTTTTGTCGGGTATCACTCTTCCGAAACCAAAAAGCCATTCCAGACTCAAAAGAAAATTCCGGACTCAACTCCTACTTCGGAAGTCCAATTTTATTCCGGACCCATTTTACCCAGCACCCATTCCGGACATTTTATTTTCTAACCCATTTTGAACCTTTTGTTTTTCATTTCAGACCTTTTGTTTTAAAACCAATTCCGGATTCACCATTCCATTTCTGGACCCAAAAAATTTCCACAATCAAAAAAAAAAAAAAAAAAATCGGACCATAACCCATCATTCTACTCCTAACCTTTCCCACTTGTTAACCCATATTCCACTCCTAACCTATTTTAACTTAACCCATTTATTTTCAAGTTTTTTATTATAACTAATTTATTCCTTCATTTTATTTTTAAACCAATTCATTTTCTTTAACACCCATTATTTTTTTTAATACCAATTATTTTTATTACAACCAATTATTTTTTTAACACTAATTGATAGGTCATAATATAGTGGTTTGGGCTAGGCATCCATCTTGTATAGGTCTTGGTAGGGTCTTGGGGTTTGTTATGGTGGTTGTAACCTTTGAGTGGCTGTGTATGGCCGGACATGTGTGTACGGCCGTACACCCTGTGTACGGCCGTACAAGCGTGTGCGGCTGTACACTCGTGTACTGCTGGGAGTGCTATAAATAGTAGGTGTCTGTGTCAGTCTTAGGGTGACGCAAGTGTGTGTTTTCCAAGGTGTATTTGATGTTTATGTGATATAAATGTGTGCATGTTTGGCTTAATTCTTCTTCTACTCCTTCTACACTCTGATTGATTGCAATATCATTTGATCACTGATTTGGATATTAGAATTCGGAACGTAACAATTGGTATCAAAGCCAAATCAGTGTCAATTTGGATCCTCGTGAGTGTACGGCCAGAGAAACTTCACAATTTTTGAAGATAATCCGAAATTGCTTATAGAGTATCTATTTCTGAACAACATTTAAGGCTTTGGATTGAAAATCAAGTGTTTTTGGAGTGTACGGTTGAGCTCGGTTGAAGGTGTACAGTTGAAGGTTGAAGGTGTACGGTTGAAGGTGTACGGT